TTTTTTTTCGGTCGTGCGCCGCATCGCGCCGCGCCGTGCCGCGGCTGGAAAAAAAAACAAAAAAAACAGCCCCATGGGTGGGGCATGGCCGAGATGTCTCGGCCACACCCCAGATGGGCCACGGCCGAGATGTCTCGGCCACAGCCACCTTTCACAGGCAAACGCGGATGGAGCCAAAAAAAAAGGAAAAGAAAAAAGAAGAAAAAAAAAAGAAAAGAAACGAGGAGCTTTGAATCCACGTACGTGGGGAGCTCAAGTTACACCAGTCCTTTGAGGAATGTATCGGGCCAGTATGTGAGGACCGTGAATCATATCGTTTTTTTTGTTTCCTTTTTGTTGTGAGGTCGTTGTAGCGGCCTGCCAGCCAGGCAGGGCGGATTCCACGGGTTCCAGACAAGTACTGTACATCCTGTATCGAACCGCAATCACCGCATAAGGGATGCTTTTTTTCCTTTTTTTCTCATCTGCTGCTCGTGGATGGACGAGGGCCCTGACTGAACTGCTACCGAGCCAAGTTTGAAATGCATTTTAAACTCGGGCCGTGACTGAAGTGCGAAAACGCAGTTTGAAGTGCATTTACAAACTGTTTTTGTGACTGCGCCGTAGTTACCCCTATATAGAATACTACGTGGGAGTCACAAAAATGAGTTATAATTGCACTAGGGGCCAAGATACAGTTTCAAATTCAATTTGCAGTTCGGGCGGGCAATGTATACAACGCAGCTTTCTGGCCAGGTAGGGTGCCCGAAGTGCAATTGCAAACTGTATCTTGCCCCATAGTGCAATTATAACTCCTTTTTGTGACTCTACTGAAGTTACCACTATATATATCGTCTAACAGAACTGCGCGGTAAACCGTCGGCAGAGAGGGAGACGAGGACAACAAATGAGGAGCTGCGACAAACCGTTTCGTTGGAGTTTCAAATTGATGATATATATATGCTGAAACTCCGACGAAACGGTTTGTCACAGCCCCCGGTTTGTTGCCCTCTTCTCCCTCTCTGCATACGGTTTACCAGGCAGCTCTGTTTGACGATTATATATACACCCTGCTACGGCTTTCTCCCTTCAGGTCGAGCGGGGCAGTGGTCGGGGCCGTCACTACACGGTCATGCTGTGCCTCTAGTGCCAGCGACGTGTCTGGAGTGTGTTTTTTGGCTGTGACAGACCTTTCTTTGTTTCGTGGATGTTTTGCTGGCTTGTGATGGGGTGTGAACTGACAGTCTGTAGAATTTTCCATCTGCTGTGGGTGAGTGATAGTCTGCGTTGATTTTCGTCACAGGTACCTTGAGGGCAGTGGTTGGTGCCCACCTCAGGCTATCAGTTGTCAGGCAGTCGTTGATGCTTAACCACAGCCGGGGTTAAGGTGGATTATCACTTACAGCATACTCAGTTAGGGGATTCTGCAGACTGTTGAGGGTTTAGCCTCCTGATGAGTAAGGGCGTCGTTAGACACTCCTCGGGGCGTCCTCGGGCTCCGAGGATGAATCCTCGGAAAAGTGTAGGGTTTTTGTCGTCCTCGTTAGACTCATCCTCGGAGCGTTGGATTTAGAAAAGGGAAAAAAAAAAGAAAAAAAGTCGTGCTTCAGGCTTTCAGCCAATAGGGTCCCGCCACGATCCGAATTCTCGGTTGTAACGTCTCTCTACGTGCATGCCCTCTCCTCTTCGTGAAACACGGATCCTCGGGCCCCAAACGACCTCGCGAGGTCCCTTGGAGCCGAGGACGATTTGGCTGGGAAATCCTCAGAGCCCAAGGATTTGTCCTCGAGTGTTTTCACATTTTCATTTCCGATTTCATAACTGAGGACAGGTGGAACGAAGTCAGAATCCTTGGAATCACGTCCCCAAGGAGTGTCTAACGACGCCCTAAGTCCGTGAAACTCCGACAAAACAGTTTGTCACAGCCCCTCGTTTGTTGTCCTCTTCTCCCTCTCTGCCCACGGTTTACCGGGCACTTCTGTTTGACGATATGTATAGGGTTCAGCCTCCTGATGGGTCGGTGAAACTCCGACAAAACAGTTTGTCACACCCCCTCGTTTAGTAGGGTCTATGGCCAACACGGCCATGAGTGTGAGCCCCATGATGGCCTGCGGCGCACTTAGGGCCATGATACCCTGATCGGTATTAGTAGGGTCTATGGCCACTTGATACCCCTGATCGGTATTAGTAGGGTCTATGGTCGCTTGATACCCCTGATCTGTATTAGTAGAGTCTATGGCCAACACAGGCGTGAGTGTGAGCGTGAGGGGGTTGTGTGTGGTGTGTGGGAGAGTGTTGGGCATAGCCACCACTGCTACTCGATGGGGGTGCGGAAAGTAGATGGGGAAGGCACAGCTACTGCCCGATTGCTCGGTCTTTGCGTTAGCCCCGCCCCCCCCCGCCCGCACCGGCGGCCCCACCCTATGCGCTGACCACCGCTGGTTGTCATACTCGCACTACCACTTTCCTAAATGTATCTGATCGCAGTTACGGCCGGGTCTGGATGCATCTGATCGCAATCTCAGTCTGTAAATAAAGCAACGAGTGGCGTGTTCCATTCCAATGTTTGTTTTCTTTTTTTTTTCCCCTGACTTTTGAGCCGAGCCAAATCAGATTCAAGTGTGAGTGGGTTGTGTGTGGGAGATTGTTGGCCTTAGACAGTAATGCGATTTGATTGGAGGTAGGGGACAATGAAAAGGGAGGTGCAGCTACTGGCAAAATGCTAGGTCTTTGCATTAGCTGGACCACCACCGGCGGCGCCACCCCATCTCTGACTACCACTGTTGGGGCGGGGGGCAACATACAATCCCTTCATTGTGAGGCAGCTATGGTTGCAGGGGTCCCGTCTACATAGCCTCAGGCATAGTAGGTAATGCAAGGCGAAAACAAATTTGAGAGAAGAATATAGTGTAGTTTATTTTGAAAAGAAAAAAGACACAATCAGATTCAATAACAGAATCCGTTTCGGGAAAAGGAATCTCATGGCGCATGACTCGGATAAAGGGAATATCCTCTGGAGCTCTTTTTCATTCGTTTTTGTGTCGGGGGAAGGAGTGGGGGAGGTGGGCATGCGGGAGGGGGAAGGGGAAGGAGGTCGGTGGGGGAAGGGGGGGACTCTTCTTGTTTTCCCTGGCTTGCTTTTTTTTTTTTTTTTTTTTTTTTTAAGACGGGTTTGGTGCCCAAGGCTCAGAATTACCAAGAGAGAACTGAGGCCGGTGTCCTCACAGTCTACCCGGATAAAAAACATCTGGGAACAGTACCCAGTTTCGTTTTTTATAGGACCCATCGGGACCCGACAGAACTGAAGAACCATTTGCAGAAGCACATCTAACAGTTGTATCACAAAAACTTGACATGAATACGCTTAGGGCCTCGCTGCACTACTCTCGACATGCACACAAGACAAACATCATGGCCGTGTATGTTTCCATATTCTAGCGGAAGATTCACTCTCGTTTTGCACATTTCGAGAGTAGTGCAGCGAGGCCCTTAATCTGAATACCTACACATTATAGTAAGAGTCTGCAGTACACAAGTCCATAGAACATTGTTTTTTTTTTAAACAAAGAACACTGGGGACTCTTTTTCATTCTTACATTGTTTTTTTTTTAAACAAAGAACACTGGGGACTCTTTTCCATTCTTTCAAGTGTTACTTTACTGTCAGATTTAATGACAGGATCTGTTTGGGAGAAAAACGGATCTGTTTGGGAGAAAAAGGGAACCCAAAAAAAAAAAAAAAAAAAAAAAAAAAAGGCAACAAAATTCTGCCCACATGCTATATGACTCGGATGTAGGGGAATGTATTGCCAGGTCAGCTTCTCTTCTCTTCTCTTCTCTTCTCTTCTCTTCTCTTCTCTTCTCGTCTCTGCTCGTCTCGTCTCGTCTCGTCTCGTCTCGTCTCCTCTCCTCTCGTCTCCTCTCGTCTCCTCTCGTCTCCTCTCCTCTCCTCTCCTCTCCTCTTGTCTTGTCTCGTCTCGTCTCGTCTCGTCTCGTCTCGTCTCGTCTCGTCTCGTCTCGTTTCGCCTCGCCTCGTCTCCTCTCCTCTCCTCTCCTCTCCTCTCCTCTCCTCTCCTCTCCTCTCCTCTCGTCTCGTCTCGTCTCGTCTCCTTTCCTCTCCTCTCGTCTCACCTCCTCCTCTCCTCTCCTCTCCTCTCCTCTCCTCTCCTCTCTTCTCTTCTCTCCTCTTCTCTTCTCTTCTTCTCTCAGACGAGACGAGACGAGACGAGACGAGATGAGACGAGACGAGACGAGACGAGACGAGAAGAGAAGAGAAGAGAAGAGATCTCTTCTCTTCTCTTCTCTATCTCTTCTCCTCTTCTCTTCTCCTCTTCTCTTTTCCTCTTCTCTGCTCTGCTCTGCTCTGTCGTTGAATGTCTGGGAGGCATGATCCCACTACCACCAGGTCAGGATCTCATTCGGTAGTTGAATTGTTTCTTTTTTCAGAACAGTCCCAAGCAGGTCATTTTAGAGACCCCATCAAAAAAAGGACAGGATGACAGCAGCAGTACCCCGTGGTGCACAAACAATGACCTTTTTTTTTTTTCCAGGAGCAGTGACATATTTTGACGTCACAAACAAACAACAATTTTGAAAAACAAAAAAAACGGAACGAAGGGAAAGCACCGAACTTTAAGAACTAGAAAACAGCCTCATGAGTCCAGCTCCCACTGGCAGCACGGAGTAGTTGAGGACCCGCATCTGGATGTGTTTGTGGAGATGTGCAGTTGAGAAAATTCTGACCGCAATTTTCTGCACATCTCCTCAAACACATCCAGATTCGGGTACTCAACTCATTACCCCTTGGCCCCAGTACGCCCTTTTCAAATGTTGTAATTGTGCAGATTCGGGCATTGAGGAAACTCAATGCTGCTAGTGGGACTTGGCCCCAATACCCCTTTCTCAAATTATTTAGAGGACTATCACTCCGCATGCTGCACAGCACTATTCTCAGGCTCTCCTTTTTTTTTTTTTTTTTTTTTTTTTCCCTTGCACTGTTCCCAGTCTAATTCACCAGTCCAGACTCCAGAAGGTTCTATACCATCGGGAAGTCCTTTCCATTGCAAATTGCGATGGGAGTAGGTTGATCTGTCTCTTTCCTGGGGTGAGGTCCCACTAGCAAAGAGGATTGGATTGAACTTGAATGCCCGAATCTGGACATGCTTGCGGAAAGGTGCAGAATATTGCAATTCATCTGATGTTCTGCATCTCTGCTTCAAACCCATCCAGATTTAGGCGCGTAATCCAATCCTCTTTGCTAGAGGGACCTAAGGCTTGCTCCTGGTGGATGAATAGTACACCTCTACACACATCATGTAACTCCTGAAATGCACACGAAGAGCCCAAATCTGGACTTGCGTGCCGAAAGGTGCACAATATCGCAATTCATCTGCTGTTCTGCATCTCCGCTTCAAACCCATCCAGATTCAGGCACTTAATCCAATCCTCTTTGCTAGTGAGACCTTGCTCCCGGCGGTTGAATAGTACACCTCTATACACATCATGTAAACTGCCGAAATGCACACAAAGAGGCAAAATGACAGTTTCGGTGTTGCTCGTCTTGTTTGTCTTGTGCATTTTCATCGTTTGTTTCACAAAGTGTGCATGAGCACGCTGCGCAAAACAAATGGTGCAAATATGCACAAGACAAATGGTACAAAGTGTGCAAGATGAACATGAAGAGCGCACTGAAGCTGTTCTTTCCTGCTGAGGAAGAGACGAAGGAACAGCTTCAGTGCGCTCTTCATGTTCATCTTGCACACTTTGTACCATTTGTCTTGTGCATATTTGCACCATTTGTTTTGCGCAGCGTGCTCATGCACACTTTGTGAAACAAACGATGAAAATGCACAAGACAAACAAGACGAGCAACACCGAAACTGTCATTTTGCCTCTTTGTGTGCATTTCGGCAGTTTACATGATGTGTATAGAGGTGTACTATTCAACCGCCGGGAGCAAGGTCTCACTAGCAAAGAGGATTGGATTAAGTGCCTGAATCTGGATGGGTATGATTTATATTTTTAGCTCTATATGTACATATATCGTCAAACAGAACAGCCGGGTAAAGCGTAGGCAGAGAGCGAGAAGAGGACAACAAACGAGGGGCTGTGACAACTGTTTCGTCGGAGTTTCACCGACTCATCGGGCGGCTGAACCCTATATTATTGTCACATATCCTTTTTTTTTTTTTTTGTCACATATCTATCAACCAAAAGAGCAGACTTTGTGAAACAAACGACAAAATAAAGCAAGATTGACAACAACAACAAAAAACAAGCGACAAAAATACAGAACACAAACATGCAGTGCACACTCAACCCATTCGTTTGATTATTTCTTCTTTTAGATCCCATCTTACTGTGCCTTTCATGTACAAGGCTCGGCACGTTCTTGAAGCTGAGCGCAAGCTGCCCGCATCCCCGTGTGCCATAACAGCCCACTTGTACGCTGTGGAAAAGCGGCAGAGTAAAGGGAGATGGGATAAACGGAGGGAAATATGGAAAGAAGACAAAGCAAAAAAAAAAGGTAGACAAAAGGAGATTGAGGGAAAGGTAGGAGTGTGGGATATGGAAGAAGACTCAAGATTCAGTTTGTCCTTGATAACAAAGAGGACATTCATTGCAAGGATGAGTGCATGGATGACCTAGCTGAGCATGAATTGGGTGGCTCGCATTGAGCATGCCCACCAAACACTCCCGACGAATGGCATGTGGATTGCAGGCCAACAGGAAGGGAAGAATGGGCACCGCAAAAGGCCATGCATTTAGTATGACACCCTTGGTCGCCAATGGACATGTCTGCGGTCAGAACAGGAGGGATAGTCCTGTACACATACATGTAGAAAGTATGTCATTTGAAACATAAATAAATAAATAGAAAACAAAATAGTTCTATTGGCCATGTAGGTTACCTTTTAATTGGTTTTTCATGTGGAACTATCAAAGGTATACAGTCTTTACTAATACTAGGTGTTTTCATTTATGTAATAATGGCCATCAATGTATTTGGAATAGTTTTAGCTTTACGCCGTAATTGTTTAAAATATATAGCGGATTTAGCCGCGTTAGCATTGAAATAATGTCATTGTTGCTTGTGACAGAGACAGTGACGACTTCAGCAGAGTGTGACAATGTTTGTAGTTGTGCAAAGGAGAGGGTTGCAAAATGTTGATGCACTTGTCGCCCGGCGGCACTCTCTTTTTGGGTCGGCAGCCGGTCAAATACACAGAGAGAGATATAAATTATCTTTCACATAAAAGAGTGTGCAGACGGTTTGGTGAGGCAACAACATCGTTATGTGAAAGATCAATAACATCAGTCGTGGTGTGGACCACGGTGACATTGTCCCAAAAGTCCCAATGCTTAGTTGCATGTAATGGCTAGGTCCGTGTACAATGCGAGCAGAGATGTGGAATGGAAATGATGAAACCACTCACCTGCTTGAGCATTGCAGAATTCTAGTTGGCTGCCTCTCACTGCTACTTGTACGAACGCAATTGTGAAGTCCACTTCCCTAGCATTTTTACCATGTGAACCACAACTCATCCATCATTCAATTTTAATGTCGTATGTGATCGCCACCACATGTGGAGCACTGCTCATCTGTCACTCAATCTTGTTGTTAAACGTCTTCAATCGTGTCGTTAGTTGCAAGACCAATTTGAAATTGATGTGTTGATCGAGAGTTGAAGAGAAGATGATTCAACACTTTTGAAACACCCTTTTGCTCTTGAACGGTTGGTTCTGAATCAGTGGGATAAATGAGATGAAGACGACGAACCACCAATACTTCCTAAATGTGTGCCCGTATAAGCCATGATTTTAGGAAACGTGTGAGCCACTATTGGAGCGCCAAAATTCATTCGACTAGAATCGTTTCTACTCTATTTTTTTTTGTGACCGATAGCGGGACCGAGTACTGGTGGTTTAAGATTTATGTGCTTAGTGTGTACATACTACATTCGCTTGGCCCATCAAACCATTCTTATCCCACGTCGCAAATTGTTGCAATCCAACCTTTTTTCAAGTAAATTTCTTCTCGTCTTTACCTTCACTTCTTCTTCAGTTTGCTCCACAACAACGTATCTCCGCTTTCGAAAAAATAATTATATCATAATTTTTTGTGATACAACTTAGGAGATAATACTAACGTCTTTCTTGGATTCATGTTCAACGGTGTCAGTAAGAGTTTTAGAATGACCGAATGTCTCATGATTATGATTGAAGTGTCAAAGTAACTAATTGATTTTATAAAAGCTAATAAGATCTCGAAGATGAGAGAGTATTCAATGAATATTGTGTAAGGTCATAATAAGGGTTTAAAAAATTAATAGTCAATCAACGATTGATTGTTGAGATGTGATTGCGATTATCAAAGTCATGATCGGATAAAAAACACAGCGTAATTCATGAAGATGAATATAGAGATAAATAGCACTAGATTCAAACAAATCATGACAGTGTACATCAATTTTATAAAATATGCAGGGATGACTTTTCATAGTAATGATACAGGAGTTTCTCAACAATAGAGTTTGATAGAGCACTCTAAAAAACTAGTGCAACCGCTCAGAATGTCGAAGTCAATGCAAACTCAAGCGCAACAGACCAATTGTTCCTTGACAGACTGATACGAGGTAGAGGAGGCGTTGTAAGTCTCTCAAAGACAACAAACTGAGTGGATCCGGTGAAACACTTATTTTCTTTTTCAAACTTTTTTTTTTTTTCAACACAACTTCCTCAACAACATCTTTCATACAGAGTATCAACGCTTATCTCCTTGGGAGCATAGATCCTCACATCATATGTGTACAACTCGATAAAACGAAATGTCAGAATATAGAATCGTTCTTGTTTCCAACTACTCTCGAGTCTCGACCATCTCATACTTGACTACTTCATAAGGGAACACTTCTATCTTACTTAAAGCATTCAGTGATTTCAAAAAACACTCAACCTTTTCTTTACTTGGACATGAACCCGTGCCTTCCTCTGTTGAAATTTTTTTTGTTCTCATGACAGCCTGTTTATTTCTTTCACTTCAGCACCATTTTGATAATTGCTAGCCAATTACTCCCATCATAATCGCTGTTAGGAATAGGAGGGATAAAGTTTGACATTACACCCCATTCCACTTTCTTATTTCGCTTGATTAAATTTACCTTTTCATCATAAATAAATTGAGCAGCAATTTCATATAACCAGTTAACGTTTTTACCATCATTGCAACTTCCCTCCTTGATGTAAGGACGAATATCATAGATATATCACTCCAGGAAGCGAGTCTGTACTATATAGATGGTTGAGCCACGAGAATGGTAAACCCAACAACCCTCATACCGATCGGGGAGTATCCTCTTTAGAAGTGAGTTTAGAAAACTCTTTTAATGCATTGCCGATTAACATTGCCTGAATCTGATTTGTTTTCTTCTCCTTCAATTTCTCGCAATGGTTAAGGGCTGCAGAGCATACTTGTGATCAAGCCTGATTCTCTTCGATAAATAATGTTAGTCTTCTCCTCCAGTCCAGTATGATACCTCACACACAAAGTAATAAAACACAATCAGTAACTTAGATTTTCAAGGGAATACTGACACAAAGATGATTGCAAGATCAATCTGAGAATTCAAATACTCTCAAATAAAAGCTAAAAAACTGTCGTTGACCCAGACTCGTTCCGGACACTAAAATTTTTCATGTTCCCAGTAACGACACTATTTTTGTCACACTTTTTCTAGTCAGCTCGCCTTCAAGTGACCAGAAAGCCAACAGGCTGTCACGCAGGATTTTGATGTTGTTTGCAATAAGTAAAATATATTAATTAGAGAAAATTTATTTTTGTTGTGTGCATCCGGCTTCGAGCGAGACCCTTCAATCGCGATCGTCGTCGGTCCCCGGTCTTAGAAATCTTTGATTTTGATTCGTAACAACAAAAATCGTGCAAATAATAGTAATAAAATTCTGGTGTGCCATACATGAATCAATTATGCTAATTTATTAATTTTGAGAACCGTGACAAGATCGTCAGATAACACAATCATCAAGCAGAGTCAATGCAAATGAAGCAGGATTGAATGACTCAAGATGAAAACAAGGTAAATGAGGAAAAAATGAGCACTCGTAATAGTCTCAGGAAGAACAGATGAACAGGCACGACCAACACTAGTCAAAAGTCCTCGCTCATCCCTCTAGGTCACATTCTCATTCTCTCATTTGCTTGTGCGTTTCCTGTGTCTTGAACCATGCCTATGTACCTCCTGAGACTGTGGCCATTGGATATAGAGCCACCTAAAACCTGCAAGTTCCGAACACTTTCATCCAAGTCTCATGATACGAAAGTCGTCCATAGCACATAATTTCTCCCACAAGGTAGGAAGATATAGCTGAGAGAAAACCCCTCGTATTAGATGTCTGAACTATGATGGTTCAGTCACTGCCTCATAGTCAGTCTTTGCCGGTGAGATGTATCTCCTGGCTAGATCAACCAGATCACCTCAACAAGAGTCATCTGTGCGAAGGAAAGAGACTGGAGGCTTGGGGTAGTCGGTGTACAGTCTCATCAAGTTAGTTTTATCTCTCCTCAAGGTACCAGCCGAGATGCAGACTGAGTCTAAATGTTCAGTGTTCACGAGTCTCTTTCCCCTTCTTTACATAAGGCCTCAGATCAAGGATGGTGCCACCTACAAACCTGGTGAGGATAACAAAGATGGATAGACCCGCTTGTCTGAAACCAACTGGACTTACATATTGATACTGGACTGCATCCTTGAGGGTTATCTTGTTGAGACATGCAAAAACCGACGACTCTCTAACTGGGAATGACTTAACCGTACTCAATGTTGGAACCGATCTTGGTGTCTTCTATTGAGAGCACTGTCTGATTGACACTGATCTCTGGTACAAATAAAATCGACTGAATGGCGATTCTAAGTTTTCTGATAACTTCTCCGATAACCTGATGCTGTTGAATTGACAGGCCACTGAATACTGATTTTTTAGCAAGGTACAAAATACTGTTTACTTCATAGCAGGACACTGAATGAGAAGATACAGGCAATTGACTGTTGCTTACTGATTAGGAGTATCGACGAAGCCCTTGAGGAGAGGGGTCTGAGCCCTCCTACACTCTCTCACACTCCTTCTGGCCTGTTCGATTGTCTCTAGAGATGAGTAGGTACTGTGCAGTTTTTCGTCAGGACTATAGAAGTATGTGATGTATTCAATGTTTTTTCGGGTTTTCACCTATTTGTGTGCATGTTCTCTCATTAGCCTTATGTGGCTCATAAAATTTTCGGATGTTTCCTCTTCTAAACCTTTCACCTTATCCTGGTATAGTGTGTAGAACATCAATAAGGCGTTCTCACCTCCCATGCTTTCCCTCTATCTCTACAAAGACCCTCAACTGCGAGTACTAGGTTTATCAGCAGCTGAGTTAACTGATCAGAGTACCGAGGGTGCACGCTCCCCCAGTGTAACGCTTGGGTATAAGGGGTTGCATTTGTGTTTGTAGGCAAAATAAAATGATTCCAGAGTGCGACACACTGGCCTTACCTGATTTGAAGACGCATCGTTATCGCGTCAGGTTACGGTGTGAGGAACAATACAACTCCGCTATGATCTGTTTATTTGTTAATTTCTTTTTTGGAGGGCCGCTCATTGAGAAAACTCGGTAACTAGTCGCTGCGGTCTTCCTTGAGCCGTTGCCTCTGGCCGGAGTAATTATTTTGAGTTAAGACAGATACTGGAGGCAGATGGCAATTTACTCAGGACTAAACAAGTACACGGATCAAACATTAGTGGTGAACGGTTGTGACTCATAGCATCAGTATGACTCAGATGGCGTCGAGGGTCACTCCACCCGTGAACTGTGTTGGAGCACTGCTGGACATTTCATTGACTCACTCTTGATACAGAGTGGGCCCCTTAATCGAACTTTCCCTAGTGTATGAAAGCATTAGTATCTCGTATCGGGCCTTGTTACAGACCGCCATGACCTGCCTGTAAACTAGGACCCAGTGCACAAGGCGGTAGCCGACGGGTCCAGCCCACGCTCACAAGAAATGAGGAATACAACGACTCTATGTACTCGCTTTTCTCCCAATTGAACGTCTCTGAGTAGTAGCCGTGTCAGGCGGACATGAGAGGTCTCAAGGGAACCACAATGAAGCACAACCAATGATTACCTTCCCATAGGTATCAATAAAAGTACCTTCGATGCTAGAGTTACATGATCGCGCTGATTACAGACCCTACTCAACCTGCATGTACAAAACTACTTTTGAGACAATTTCTGACCGGTAGTATACTGCGCGAAGCATCACTAATGTGGTTTCCACCGCATTGGCTAGGATCAGACAATGTTTCTTAGATATGCACAGAAGGACGACGAGCATTTTTTCAGTACATGTGATTTTTCCAACTCTAGGGCATAACCTAAGGCAATATCTGTTAGATTATGGCCTTGAATGTTGATTGCTGCGACCTCCGTTCAAGCACCATACAGAGGCATCAACCGGACTGTTTTCATTCAGGTATAATACCAAAACAAAAACACATTTTTGTCTCTTCGCGACACGACACAGGTTGCGTTACGAGGCCTGTTAACTGCAACGCGGACGAGGCAATAAGCGATATCTAATCGTCGTTCATAAGGAACTTAGTCAACAAGTAGACGACCTCCCTTAGAATGCGTCGTTTCTTGCCCATCAAACAACTCGCTCGAACTACATGCTTTGTTAAAAGTGTCACACAGACGATGGGTTTCACACACGGGGTTTTCGCATGACAACGAGATTGTTTTTTTCTAAACTCGACAACTTTAGTCTACATCATGGTTTCCTTTGATTTATTGAACTACTGAACCAACTTCCCCCTCGAGAAAATTACACACACCACAAACCTTTGTCTAGGGTATGGAGTAGGAAAACAAATAAAAGGAAAATGAGAATAATTGGTAGAGGAGATTTTTTTTTTTTTTCTTTTAATGGGAACAAAGCTCCAATCTATTCGTGGGGAGCAACACGTGCTGGGAACCGGGCCTAGCGTCCCGTATAGAGAATTACATAGGATTTTGAAAAAATTGAGGATTTGCAGTACCGGGGTCACTACCCGGCTTTGGCTAAGAGCTAGATTCAGAGATACAAACAAGCTACCAAAAATAAGCAAAAATTCAGGAACAGACTCAGACCCCCCTCCATCCTCATTACCTACTGCAGCAGAGCCACCATCTCTGCTGCTGCTGTACCCTATTACCATCCTACCAGTTGACCCCCTTTCTAGTAGGACGCTTGATATCCAACCTTCTTCTCCCACTCACCTAGGCAAAGTTTCAGGAAACATCTTGAGAACCTCCATCCATCCTTTTTACCTCACTCCGGCAAGACTTACTGCAGTAGAGCCACCATCTCTGCTGCTGCTATACCCTATTTGCACCCTACCAGCTAGCCCCTTCACTGGTAGGACGCTTGATATCCCGCCATCCACTTCCAACATCAACCAGCGTCGTTCTGATCGCAGATTTATGAATATAACAGCATCTCGAGACCACTAAAAGCAACTGAAAGACAATTTTGAAGGTTTGGGGTACCGAAGCCATTACCCGACTTTGGTGAAGAAAAATTGGAGCCAAATTAAGAATTACTATGACAAAATTCCGAAAATAGGCAAGACTTTAGGAAACACCTCAGAAAATCTCATCCAGCCTCTTTACCTCACTCCGGCAAGACTTACTGCAGCACAGTCACCATTTTCGCTGCTGCTGTACCCTATTTTCATCCTACCAGCAAGCCCCCTCACTAGTAGGAGGTTTGTTATCCCACCATCTACTTCTCCCACTCATGTAAGCAAGAGTTCAAAGAACGTCCCAGAAACCCCCATCCATCCTCTTACCTCACTTCGACAAGACTTACCGCAGCCGAGCCACCATCTCCGTTGTTGCTGTACCCTACTTCCATCCTACCAGCTAGCCGCCTCACTAGTAGGACGCTTGATATCCCACCATCTACTTCCAACACCAGCCAGCGACGTTCTTTTTTTTTTAATGGGAACAAGGCTCCAATCTATTCGTGGGGAGCAGCACGTGCTGGGAACCGGGCCAGGGTCCCATATGAAAGTTGACATAGAATTTGAAAGAATTTTGAAAGTTTAAGATCCCGGGGCTAAGAATAATTTAATCTACAGAGAAAAATACTAAAAAACTTAAGAATAGGCAAAATTCAGAAAACAACTGAGAGGCTCCCCCATCAATCCTCTTTACCTCAGTTCGGCAAGACTTACTGCAACAGAGCCACCATCTCCACTGCTGCTGTACCCTATTTCCATCCTACGAGCTAGCCCCCTCACTAGTATGACGCTTGATATCCAACCGTCTACTCATCCCACTCAACCTTTTTTTTAGAGAAATAGCCCCATAGAACAATCCTGCCTCCATCATCGAAGGGAAGAAGCGCAGACTGATCTGGGTGAAGTTAGCGGTCAGTGCCCGGTGCCCGCCGAAATTCCAGCGCCAATCGCATCCAGCACCAACTTCCTCCGTCCCGATCACCTCTGTCCTACCCAACTCCATCCTCGTGAAGAACTTCAGAGAGCCTCTTCTCCGCGGGGGCCGAGCCCCATCATCACCCCGACATTCTTTGCCTCCACAAGGATACCAGTCTCCGTTCTGGAGGTGGTGAACTAGCACTACCCAATGCCAATCGCGCCAGAGTTCACTCTCATCAGCCGGTACCCATCAGACAACTTAAACTACCCGACGCCAATCGCATCTGATAAGATGCCCCTCTAGCCGGTACCTATCGAGCAGCCCTATTTCCTCCCCGTCTCCGTCCTTATAAAGAATCATTTGATGCCCCTGGCCCCTTACTTCAAAGCAGGTCCCCAAAAGCTCCATAAGATGCTCCGCTAGGTTTTTTAATGGGAAGAAATTGAGATGCTGGAGCCATGACCCGGCCTTGGCTACAAACGACTTCTGACGAAAAATACAACAAAAACAGGAAACCAGCAAGCCCTGAAACAGACGACCTGAAAAATCCCGCCTCCATCATCGAAGGGAAGGACCTTATTCGCCTTCCCAACTCCGTCCTCGTAAGGAGCGCAAAGAATAGTTTGTCTCAGTAGGGGGCAGGCACCATCATCACCCTGAAATTCCTTGCTCACACAAGAATTTCAGTCTCTGTCCTCAAGGAGGTGAACAATACTTCCCAACGCCAATCGCACTAAAGCTCGCCCTCAACAACCGGTACCCATTGGACAGCCTAACTACCCAACACCAATCGCATCTGACAAGGGCTCCCCCTAGCCGGTACCCGTTGAACAACCCTATTTCATCCCCTCTCTATCCTTGTAAAGAATCCATTGATGCCTTCCACCCCCTACTTCAAAACAAAAAACCTTCAGACCCTACGAAATGTTTCATTTGACCATCTCATGAGCCCCCTATTCAAAATTCTGAGTAGAATTAGGTCAAATTAGGAAAACAACATATCGACTAAAAAAACATAGGAATTCAATTACAAAAGGAAAAACTAGATTTATACGAGATATGCTATTTAACAAAAAGAGATACGAGGTAATACGAATGTAGAATTAGGTATTCAAAAATGATGTTCAAATTAGATTTTCGAAAATAATGTTCAAATTAGATTTTCGAACCTCTACCATGGAAAAATTTGAGAAGAAAATCAAGGATAGATAAGAAATATTCAAAAAAAAATTAGTAGAGAATCAAGGCTAGATCAAAAAGACACTAGACAAAAACGATTGTGTACATTGAGAACTGAGAAAGCCTTCGTTAAGGTCTGAGCAAAATTCTAACTTACGAGTTTCAAATTACGACTCTTGCTCACAACTATTAAGAACCCTACAAAACACGAATTCTAAATTAAGGATCAATTACCTCCAGAAACCATTTGAGATCTCATGAATCAGATTTAAACAAAACTAAAAAAACAGAGAAGACAGCCACAACTTAGAAAAATCAGGGAAGAATCATGACGAATCAGAAAATTCACGATTGACAGCAATTTCAGATTATAAGACAGCCTGGCCATGCGCGAGTTAAGTCATAATCTAGATCCAATAGAGAACAACCTCCCGTCCCTTCTACCTCAACCAAGCCACGCACCCCCTCGCCAAACCTGTTGACGAGTTGCCACAGGAGGTTTAAGACCACCTGAACTATACCCATACCCTACTGTCGAGGAAGAAGGGGGGGGGGTCAAAAAACAAGGATGACAAGCCCTAACCTAGTCCAACAACTCCACACCCCCCTGCCCATCTGCCCCACTCTCCTCCAATCTCCTCCCGCGGGCCACCATATCCCGTTGTGCGCCTCATGGCCAACTCTCCCGCGCGTATCCTTTACTCACCTTGCGTCCTTGCGTCTTCACCCACCGCGTTGCAGGGCTCTTCGATAGATCCCGCGTCGCACCGCT